TAGCATGTAATAGTAGAGATTTCTTGTAATGTTTTCTTGCTTATATCAGATAAGTAATTATAATAATGATGACTGTGGTGTTGATTTGATTATAATATTGATGATTTTATTTTTTAAAATGTTATGTTGTGTTTAGGAAATTTATGTGATATAATGGTACAGTCAAGGTTACCTTTTTTCATTGAGAAAAATCACAAACTTCCAATTGGAATGACATTAACAAGTGGAGTAATTAATTATATGAACCATCAATAAGACATTAGTATTAATGCACGATGTTTAACATTGTCAGTGCTAGAAAAATATGGCGATGATGATTTGTAAAAATCCTTGAGGTGATGGTAAGCTTATTAGAGAGTATTATTAATTTGGATGATACAGGATTTAGCATCGAGAGCAAATCAGGTAAATAAAATGGTTTCTCGGAACAGACGATGATCAAAAGATTTATATTCTTGTGATAAATTGGTTGAGATTACTAAAAGCTAAATTATATATAGAATCAAAGATCCAACACTATATAGACTATGTAAATTATATAAAAAAATTATTATCGCTATGTTAAATTTCAATATATATATGTATAACTATTATTTTCCATCATCTATCATTACTATTACCATCTTTCCACCAATTCTCTTATTTTACGTTCAATAATCAAGTTTCCTAATGGTTACATTTCATTGGACTACCATTGGATCATCATTATGTATTTGTAAAAATTTCATAATCCCAAAAAATCATACTGTTACTTCACTAATAGTACACGATGGATATTGATATTGAATAATCGAAAGAATGTGTAATAAAAAATGAGGAAAAGAAATTAAACGGTCACACATGTATGGTGCATTGGAGGTCATAAAATTTTCAATTTAGAAGTACTGCTTATCCCAAAACCTACAATTGATAAACCCGACTGGGTATTTGGGAATTAAATTGATTCTCGCAGATAAATTTAGCTGGAAGGTGAATCAGTTTGCCTATATATAAAGAACAATCTTAATAATTATATAATAGGCCCACATTCTCATTAATATCTACATTTCTTCGGTTAAACTAAAACCATCTATATTTCGTCGTTACCTATTATGTAATTTCATGAAATTGCCATGTTGATTATGGTAATTACTGTACACAAATAATAATAAAATAAATTTGATCGATCGGCTCAGGATTATCAAAATTTCAAAAGAGCATTTTAAGCAATTCGAAATATTAATAAATCACAAGAATATTACGATCTTAAATACATGTTGGTGTAGAGCCAAACATTCTAGAGATTCACACGCATCCATTCGTTCTTTAACAAAAAGACAATCGGTATTATGTTGTAAGGCGTCACATATTAAACTAGTGAGGCAGTTTTAAAACAATCTTCAGGTAAGTTTATTAAAATGGAGCTTTTCAATAAAACGCGTGAAACTTGAAAAGATACCACTATTTTTATTAATAACAATATAATAATCCCTCCCTGTGATTGTGTGATCTTGTGATTAATCCCGCTTCATCGATTAATAAGATTGCATTATTCACTTTAACGAAAAGTTTTTAAGTTCATGTGTCAAATTTGGATCTTTTTTTCAAAAGAATTTTGATTGAAATTTTAGTTTAATAATTAACAGATAAATCTTAGAAATGTGCAAATTTTCTCGAGATTATATTCTACAAAATGCAGATCTGTTGTGAAACTACAAAAATTTGTTGATCAATTTTATCAATTTTATCAAAAAATGTCAAAATTAATTAGTAGTATAATTACTGAAAATTCCGATGATAGTATTATAAAAGAACAACAAAATCAAGTTTGTGGCATGTAAATTATCTTAATTATGTATATTATTGTAATTACTATAGTAATTTGAATTTTTTTTTGTTAATGAAGTCATTTTCTAAATTCTAATTTTTCTAAAAAAAAAAATTATAGATGTAAAAAGCAAAATTCAAAATATAACTGTCCGAGATGTAATCTTAAATATTGTTCATTAGATTGTTATAAGCATCAAGTACCCATCATTTTTTACATGAGAGAAATTGATTACTATAAAATTTTGGTTTTAAAAATTATTAATTTTTTGTTTTTTTTTTTTAAAAAAAAATACAATTGCTACCATCATATAGAGTCATTTAACATGTACAGAATCGTTTTATAAAGATAATATAATGGAAGAGATTAAGAGTCAAGGACTTGTTGATGAAGATCAAAAAAATAAAATGTTAAATTTCTTAAGAAAATTTGAACAAGAAAATGATGAGACAATTAAGGAATCTATATATCAAGATCAAGATTTAGAAGGTTCATCCATTTAATTAATTGATTAATTAATTATAATGATTAGCATTTATATATATTTGTTATAATTTAGATGAAGAAGATATTATTGAAAGATTTAAAGATATAAATATTGGTATGAAAATTCAATTAAATAAATTGATGCTTTATTATTAATATTAAAAAATATATCAAGAGACCATAATAATCAATTAATAAACACATAATATATGAATAAATAAATGGATGATTAGATTCAGCAGATTTTCAAACAATATGGAATAAGTTGACAGAGAAAGAACGTCAAGAATTTTTAGAAGGAAAAATAGAAAATTTTATTGTAGAATTAGAATTATGGAAACCTTGGTGGCAATCATTAAGTCAACAACAATCATCTAAAATAATTGAACTTACTAATGATGATGATGATAAATTAAATAATAATAATAATAATAACAATAATGTGAAAAATTCAACTAGACCAAAAATAATTTCCAATATTGTTAAATTAGATTTTGCAAAAAAACCTCCAAATCCTGGTATTATTTATAATCTTGTGAATATTTTGTATCCTTTTTATGTTTATTATTATTATTATTATTGCTATTATTATTATTATTGAAAATATTCTCAACTTGTATCATAATCAAATAATTAATTAGGTATGCATATGCTTATACTTGTAGATTTTTTAATGGGGAAATATTAGAAAATTTAGAAGAATCATGTTTAGTAATATGGGATTTATCACCTATTCTATCATCAAATCAAAATCTAGTATATGAAAATGCTTCACATGCAATTTCTATGAGTTTGCAATTAACTTTAAAGGTAATAAATGCGTTTCTGCATATGTGTACATTATAATTTCATTATTTACTTGTTATTTTTGTTATTTATCATTTATCTTTTTTCAAAAATTAGAATACTAAATACAAACAACCTCCAGATTTTTCATATTTGATAATAAATGATATTATTTCATTATTATCTACACATGAAAATACACTTGCAGCATTATCAGATCTGTTAAATCTTTTTCAGAAATTTAATTCATCTGCATCTGTATCCACAAAAATAACCACGTCATCATCATCATCATCATCATCATCATCATTAAATAAAAAATCAAAGTCTAAACAAAAATCTTTTTTAAATGGGAAAAAAATTGAATTTTATTTGTCATACACAGGTTATTTGCTATCAATAGATAAAGAAAAGGAAAAGTTTGACAAGGTTGATGAAATGACATTGAGAATGAAATTGTTGATTAGTGAACTTGAAATTTTTAAACAAACCAAAATTTTGGAACATGATAATCATCAAATATTGCAAAAAGATGTCGAAAAAGTTTTAGAATATAAAAAAGTAAGATTTGAAAATAATGATGATGATGATGAGAAAGATCAAAGGATTATTGAAGAGATTTAAATAAAATAGCAATGGCATTCAAACTGCCAAAAAAAAATTTTATTATTATTATTGTTACAACTCAAAGTTCTCTAATATATATTCTCCAAAAAATAAAAATGATTGTTATTATTAAAATTACATAAACAGTATATTATTATTGTTATTATCAGCTTAACATTTCTCTATAATGTACATCACAATAAGGTTGTCCTTGGTGAATATAATAATATGAACTATTGAATGGTTGTTTACAAGTCTAAGAAAATAGAAATAAAAATTAATTAATATATATCTAATACAAGGATTTACACAATTAAATAACCTACCTTGCAACCGAAACAATCACGGTGCCACTTTCCATCCAATGCATTTGTAAATTCTCCTTTGATTGGGTTTTGACAACCCTTACATTTTGGCGCTAAATAATAATATTAGTTTATTGATTTAATATAATACATACATTTCTAATAGTAGAATTAATGAATGAATGATCTATTTACCAAATTTTTTCATCCAATCTTTTTCACAGTATGGAAAACCATCATGCACCATGAAACCACCACTTTCAAATGGACCGCCACATTCACGACAAAAGAAATGTCCTACATGCCAAGATTTTCCAAGTGCTGTAATAGATTGCTAATAATTTTTTTTTTAAAAAATTTTATATTATTATAATGATGAATCACAAATATTTTTTTTCCTCTCCAAAATAAAATAAAAATAATTTACCCCTTCAATAGGTGTATTACAATAACCACATCTTGGACTAAACAATTCATGAAAATCTAAATGACAATATGGCAATCCATCTTGTTCAAAAAAAGCAACATGTTCTAAAGAAGTATTACATTTTGTACATGTGAAATGATCTGGATGCCATTTTTTCCCCATTGCCGACAAAACTTTCCCTGTGATTGATTTACCACAACCCCCACAATTTAATGATGCTATATTATGTATAGACGATGATAGTCTACTATTGTTATTATTGTCACCAAGAGGTTGATTATTTGATGGATGTATTTTTGAAGTTGGTGTTGAATTACGTTTATGTTCTTGATTATTTTCTGATATATTACTATTGATGCTATTTCTATTACTATTATTACTATTATTATTATTATTATTATTATTATTATTATTATTATTATCACCACCGATACTATTGTTATTAATAGCAATACCATTGTTGTTATTAATTGTATTGTTTGAATTTGAAATATTTTTCTCGTCAGATTTTTCTGAATGAGGGAATTTCTTTTGAGCGTCATCAAATTGTGCATTCCAATATGATTCATTATTCCCACCACTCCTATCATTATTACCATTATTATTATTTTTTAGTTCATTATTTAATTGCTTGTCAAATTGATGTTGTTTTTGTAATATATTTACTGTAGAGTTGTATATCTTTTTGTTTTTATTGATTTCACTTTGAATTTGCTCTGGAGTTTGTTTAATTAATGACGGGGTCCTTGATGCTGGTTTGGAAGAAGCAGTATGTGACTTGAATGCAGCAGATAAAACATAACTACCTTTTGTGCCATCATCTATTTTTGTATTAGAAGCATTAGCAGAGATGGCTCCTTCATCAATATTGTTGTTATTATTATAACTACTGTTAACATCTGTAGTTTGATTATTATTTTGTTTAAAAGAAAGCTTTGTTTCCGTTGGATAAGTTAGATCATTAATTAGTTCATTAATATCATTATTTTTATCAATCTTGTTTGTAATAGTTTCACGAAAACTTGATTCTGATAAAGCAGAATCTGTGGTGTTTAGTTGTGTAGAGGAAGGAGGCGAATAAGCAGCAGAGCTGGAAACTGATTCAGGAGAAGATGGTGTTTTGATGTTTTCTTCAATTTTTTGACTAAGTGAACGAGTAAGAATTGAAGTGGTCTTGTTTGGAGAAGGATATACCCTTGGACCATACAAACCTCCTACTTTCCTCTCAGTTGAATAAGTGGGAATAGAATCAACAATAATCGAAGAGGAGGAGGAGGAGGAGGAGGAGGAGAAGGTAGAAGGAGGAGAAGAAGGACTTAAAATTACATTATTAATATTGTTATTGTTATTGGATGGAACAGTTGAAGTTATTGGACTTTTTGGTGGCGTTATTAAACTTGAACGTTTAGGAGGTGCTTTATTCTTTAAATTTTTTAAATAATTTGCTAAAAAAAAATATAAATTATTAATGATATTATCATCAGTTAGAAACAATTTATTGGGGATAAATAAAGTATTAGTCTCGGACAGAATTCAAAAAACTTTACCAAGTTCATCTTTTGTAAGATTTTTTTTATCATTCATCTTTATTATAAATTGTTGTTAAAAAAAAATTTGAGTTTTAAATCGAAAAAAAAAATAAATCATCCCAATATGGTAATGGGGTTGAATAACTCCTTTATTTATAAAGAAGGTTGTAAGACAAACATGACACAATTGTACTTCTCTTGTCACATCAGGTATCGAGCATAATTAGAAATTTCATATCACGAAACGTTAAATATAAAAAAAGAACTTTTCTTTCGTTATTACTAATTATGGTACAATAATAATTTTTCTTTTCAACTTTTCAATAAAAAAAGGTGTATATTGCATTTTTTTTACTCCTATAACTTTTAGACTCCCTGCTGAGCCGATCATCATTTTTGACAACAAAATAATATAAATAAATAGTTTGTTTTATATGTAATAGTAGTATTATGTGGTTTGTTGGAATGCTAAAATCTCAATTAAGGTTTTGGTATGTGGTACAAAATGAAATGTTTCGGAAAAAAAACACCAGATCGACAAAAATGTAACTCGATCATCAATCATTATTATTTTCTTATTTTGTATTTTGTCAAAAAATAATTATTTTTTTGATTACTTGTTATTCAATTAAATTACTTATTAGATTCGTATTTGTTTTTAACAAATGTTTATATTGAATATAAATAAGCTATAATTTCAACGAGCTTGGAAAAAATATTGTGTATGTACATTGTATCGCTGTATGTAATATGCTGCATACATCCCATTTTCGACTTTCTCAAAAAGGAACCCAACACCGAAACTCCTATATATTACTATAGTAAATAAAAAAATATGAATGATTTACATAAAATCGGATCTTTTTTTAAATTTAATATTAAATACACGTGACGTTTGAAATTTTTTCTTATGAAAAATGGAAATTTACTCTGAAACCAAGCTATCGATAATTACATTCGCAAAGAAATCGTGAACCGAAATTTTATTCTTGCATTCATTTTATTGGCCAAACTTTCCATGGTTGATACTATTCCACATCAACTTCATAAAAAAGATGCTACTGTCTTCTATCTCTATTGAAGAAGATAACTACCCTTACTCACTGTAACATTTTCAGATCGTATCGTTCCCAGAGGAACCGCTGATTTCATTGTTACCGGAAAACTAGCGAAAGATATCGCCTCAGGTCCCGAAGTTATTATTGTATTTGGCGAGCCCATATTTTCCCATTTACTGCGGATGTTTACTATATCCACAATTCTTCACACAAATATCCAAGAGCTAACAATAACAGTAACAATAAATAGTTATTGTTGTATCAATTGATATAAATAAACCAATCTCACATAAATACATAAATTATAAATACCGTTAAAGCTAACCATGCAACAGTCGGGTTTCGATGATTCACAAGTCTGACTATATGCATTGCGGCATCCCGTGGACTTTTAGGAATGATTTTTTTGATCGGGGAAAAAAAGATAAACATCAATTGTAAGTTGACGGCTAGCTAACTATCTAGTTGGTTAATTGGTTGACGAATTAATACTTAATGAAGCTTACTAGTTTTGTTTTTTCTGATTAATCAAGTCTGCTATTTCCAAATTTAAGGCCAAATCTGGTTCTACTGATTGTGGATTACATGCTCTATCTATAGATTACTCAGTTTAGTTATAGTTTATATAGTAGTTATTAAACAAAATATAAACATTAAAGATTCTTTTTAAAAGACAAGAAATGTTACCTATAAAGTTTTGTATAGTAGGTTTTGGTGTAATAGCGGGTAACTATGCATTATAAACAAATTATTAAAGTTGTTTGCGTTTACTAGTTTATTTAATTAATTATTACTCTTTAGAAGATCTCATAATTGTAAAAACGATTACTTGAATCGAGCCGAAATTCATTTAATCAAGCAATAAATAGATAAAGTTTTTTTAAAAAAAAAGGATTGTTTCGTCATTCATTATAATTAGTACGGCTATGTATATTTGGAAGTTGATGTAACATCTAATGTAATAATAATATAAAAAAAGTTCAATTCCTAATCTTAATAAAAATATGTTCTTTAGTAAACTAGAAACTTAATGAATGTCATTTCATAAATAGGACTCTCCTTTGTTTTTTTAGGAGTCGACTGACATGCATGGGGGAATCCAAGGACCACCTTGATTATGAAATCGTTTCCTGAATTCAATGAATTAAACGTTAAACTTTTGGTTTCAATGTTAATTATGTATGTCAACGAAGAAATGCACAAATAATTCAAATATAACCTTTGAACTGAGAACAGCTGCTAGGATTGTCAAGATTTTTCCAGTGAATCAGGAACCTCCATCAATTGACCACACCTAATTCTACATACATATCCGTTGGGACTACCAACATTATCATTAAGATGAGAAATCAACATTTGCTGATCCATTGAATAAAACTTAAAAATTAGCGATGTTATTTGGTGCTTAACCGTCCGACCTAGTCCTATTATGGGACTAGACTGGGGTACAATGAACTCTTCGAAGAAGGAGTTCAAAGCACGGGCAGATTCTACGCAAGGATAATCCGGGCACAATGAAATCTATAAATCCAAAGCATGGGCAGATTCTACGCAAAGGGTAGTCAGGTACACAATGAACTCTAGAAATCCAAAGCGCGGGCGAATTCTATGAAAGAAGGTAACCCGGGGCATAATGAACTCTTCAAAGAAGAAATCCAAAGCACAGACGGATTTTACGTAAGGGGTAATGGAAAAGTCCAAAGCACGACCAAAGAAAAATATTATAAAATCATAATTAAAGATGAAAAAAAAACGAAGATAAAATAAAAATATTATACATATCATATTTTTTTCATCTTTATTAAAAAAATTTTTTTAAATAAAGGAAAAAAATAATCTTAAATTGTGCTTCTGCAAAGTTCGATTGTAATATTTCAATTTTGAAATATTAGAATTACTAATTAATTGAATTGTATATAAGGAGCTTGAATTCAATGTACTGTAAAAGCAACTTTCTCATAATTTAATTAGTTTCGACTAAGGAAATAACTTTGTTACAAGTTAATTAGTTTCGACTAAGAAAAACTAAATAAGTAAAATAATAAATATTTTATTTAAAACTTTTATCTTCTTTAACAAAATTATTCGCTAATCCAAAATCAATTCATTGATAACCTATTCATTCCGATCCACACAAATACAAAAATAATTGTTAAAAAACACTCTCCCAAATTTAATCGGCGACACACTGTTTAATATCTCGATTGTTTGTAATTCTCTAAGGATTTTTTCATCATTATTGCATTCTTTTGAAAGTTGAATTAACATATCATGAAGCATTTTGCACAATTTCAAGCTGTCTTTAACATACTTTTTTCCATGTTCACCCTCCCACTCTCTTCTGGTTTCAATTGCACCAAATTCTAATCTACTTCCTTTCAATCTAAATACTCCATCCCCTTTTCTTCCAATTTTCTTCCGATTTGTTCCATAATTTTCTTGGTTCTTTCTATCACTTGAAGCCATACTCATCCCTTCACCTCATATTAAATTGATATTTGAATTATGAAATGCAATGTCAATAAGTGGACCCCATATGTTTAACTGATACCACCCTTCTAATTTTGATGAGTCATCATTGTCACTTTCCCAGAGTGTGTGCATAATGCTATATGCAAGATGAATGTAATTTAAATCAAAATGCTCTTTATTGGAGTATGAAGTGCTAGTAGAAAGGGTTCAAAAATAATTTTTTGAAACTTGGATAAATCAGTTGTTGAGTACTTTTTCATAAGATTAATAATTGATTTATCAATCTTTGGTATCCTTTTAACTTTGAAGGAGAATATTTCATCCCAGTCTTCTTTACTAAATAAGGAATTTGCTTCTTTATCAACATCATTAATGATAAATGAATGTAAGCATGATTCATGTGACAATTTTCTTGCATATTTGTATATAAATTTTTCCACAATGGTACCACTCTTTAGCTTCCACATTTTTTGTGGATCCAAGTTATAATATGTGCTATCAAGTTCAGTTAAATCAGGAATTTTTAACTCATCTTCATTTACGTTACTAATATTTGGTCATCTTGAATTACTAAAATAACTGTTTTTAACCAAGTATTAAATTTTGTAACTAGAGTGACAACGAGTGGCAATAACCACCATTCTTAAAACACTTATCCAGCAGTCACCTCCCCTTTGTTATTTTCATTCTTTCTTTTATTGTTGTTGTGTTGTTGTGGCATTTTTTTAATTTTAAAAGAAATAAAAAGAAGTTTGTTATTTGATCGACAAATGCATGCAACAGGAGAGACCGTCCTATATAAGGAATGGATTTTCACAATTGATTTCATTTTTTTTTTTATACAGTTTAAAATACTTTTACAAGGGTATTATGTAGCCCATTCTTGCAACAAATCATTTGTAAATAATTACACAAACTTGAAGCTTTACACTTTGTTGTTATCATATCTTTTGAATCTCTTTGAATCCCACAACTTTCATAATACAATTTACTTGAAGAAAAATTGCCTGAAATTAAACATTGCACAGAATGTAAAACCACTGAATCAGCTAAATTTCATCAATGAAAGGCAATAAATGGAAAGAAGCTGAGAACAACAACTTAGTGAAAATAACATGTTGTTTTATGTAACATTTGTTATATGAATTTTATAGAAAATCTTTAAAAAGAGAACCTAGGAGAGTAAAAACCACAGATGCGGAAGAGGAAGAGGAAGAGGAAGAGGAAGAGGTAAGAGAAAAGATTGATTTCACTAGAGCCATCAAGGTCCTATTTCCGATTTTGATGAAATATGAAGATTGCTCCAAGAAATAGAACCAAGCTTGAAGGGGTTTTGACCAACTCTATTTAGCAGCTTGGCCATTTGAACATAATACATAGACCATATGAAGAGATTAATGGTGGTGGTGTTCATGTGTTATCTTATTTTTAAATAATACAAAAATTAACTCTTTTAAGTTCGACCTTGCATTCTATCTAGACTTGGTAGATACAAGTCTTGGAGTAACTACAACATCAAGAGCAGTAGACTGTAAAAAGAAGCAAGTTGCAGATGAACATGAGAAATATGTAGAGAATGCACTTACAAAATATTCAAAAAATACATTCTTATTGAATGTTGACAATTCACATCTAGAGACAATCAGTATCCTTTAATTACTAAAACTTTGTTACTTCTAGGAAGCCATCTACAAACATTTTTTGCAATTGCGTATAATGTGATTACACTAACTATACTAATTTTGAATAATTGTAGTGTACTCATTTATCACAATCATTGTCTACAAAGGTGACAATCTAAATATTTGATATCTTGGACTATCTTCAAGTCGAAATCAAAAAAAATGTCAACACACTAAAAGAAAATATGATGAAAATATTAAATGAAAATGAATTTATCAAAAATAACAAAAATACAGTTGATGATGATCCGGGCAATGTTGAATCAGCAACAGATGACAGCAACAATGGAAATTTTATTAGAACATGCAAAAAAAATTTTTTGGGTTGTATTTTATTTTTATTAAATAAATTTGCTTGATTTTTCATACATTGTTCATTTTTTGTCACAATCATGTATCTTAAATTTGTTGTGTTTACAATCATTTCATTGACATTCATTATATTAAGGTTATTTTGATTATATCGAGAGATATGGTCAAGAGAAGAGTTAGGAAGAGAGTTATTCTTTGACCAAGTCAAAAACCAACCTTTTAAATACATTTTCGAGTAGTACAATTTAATTTATTAGACGATTTCAATGGTTGCTTCCAACTTCTTAAATTCTTTAACGAAACAATTGTTGGTGAAGTGATTTTTGACAAAATGAATCAAACCCATATTTATTTCTACGTTTATCAAATTCGCGATTTTAATTGGTCAATCAACAAAATAGCATGGGTTAAAATTTTGTGTTCCCCTCCTGTTAATTTTGTGTTCCCAGAACGGTCTCTCCTGTTCGTTCTCTCCTGTTTGGAAAATGGCGTATTAATTTCCGGTGTCACATTGATAGGTACACATGTAAATCACATGATTAGGAATTCTCACGTTTGAATTCTTATTAAAAAAGCTCATTGATATTATTATATATTCCATATTTCATTAAATTTACTCATATGACTGAAGTTGATTATAATAGAAATAAGTGTTCGTGATCTTGTTTTACAAATAATAATAATACTTGTAAAACTTGTAACCATAAAGAATCTTTCCACCAAATAATAATATACATCCACAAAACGTAAAAACTCAAACTAAAAATCTTTTCATCTGCACAATCTTTTAATAATCAAGAAATTTTCTCTATGCCTGATATTAAATTTAATCCTTATGAAGTAAATAATAGAATGCTCTTATAAATAATCAAAAAACGGCAATGAGGTTAATAACGATGATTTGAATCAAAATAATTACTCGTACACGAGGCGAGAAGCTAGGTCACATGTTTGAGATACGATTGGCCGACACTTCAGTATATTAAATTGGTGGAAAAAACAACCGGGACAAAACCAACTAGCTAATCGACAAGTATAGCCAAGAAGTTAATTCGAATTCGGTCATAAAACATAAAACAATCGGCATTACAATTCCAAGATTTGGGTGTGAATACATACACACGTTAGAAAGAGATGTTGACACAGCAAATTTTTTTGATTTTTTATTTGCGTTGATAAAAAAATAAAGGTACAAATAAAAAGAAATTATATATATATTCCCAAAAGATTTTTTTTTGTCTATTTTTTTAAAAAAAATCTAATCACAATAAATTGACAGTTCAATAATAATAAAAAAAAAAAAAATATAATTTTACAATAATAATAAAGAGAATATATATATATATATATATATATATATATATATATATATATACATACATACAGAAAGAAAATTAATATATGTGTGTGTGTATATGTCTGTGTAGAGTAATGCAAATAATCAGATTATAAGAAAAAATTATTAAAAATAAAAAAAAAAAAGATAACAAAAGTAAAAAGAAAAATTATTATTATTGAAATAAATTAATTATTAATTATTTTTTAAATAGGTTGTTTTTGTTTTAGATGGCATTTATTTCTTGATTATCAATGATATCATCTTCATCATCTTCATCCATATTATCATCATTAAAATATTCAGCCTCCCATTTTGAAGTTAATTCTTCAACAACACCACATGCACCATGCTTCATACCCAAATCTAATTTTTCCATCCATTCATCTGGCACAACAGGTATGAACTCGTTATCTTTTTCTTTACCACCGTTGTTACCATAATTTGCCAACATTTCTGTACTGGTTGGAATAGCAAAAGGTAATAATAGCTCGCTGTCTTTCATTTCCATCAATTCATCTTCATCATCCCAACTTGTTGGACCATTGGTACATTCAGGTACTGTTGGTGAGACTGTGAGATAGATTATGCTTGAAGTATCGCTTCCATCACTCCGTATACTTTCTGTTGAGTAACGTTTTTTCCTTCTTTCTGTATCTTCCTCAAGTTGTAAAATGTATTGTTGACACTCCTCTGTTATTCTTGGCTCATTCACCTCGTAACGATAATTTTTACTAACACGTTTTAATTGAGCAGGATTGACGAGACTGAGTTCTTTGGTTGTTTGAACCAATGTGGCAAAATCGGTCATTTGCGACCAACACATTAATAATTGTAAAAGTTGAATTAATGGTTTGAAATGTGATATCAATGTAATTGATAGGTTATTTGTCCTGACCCAATCCTCAATTGCGGACACATTGAGACGGATTTGCATTGCTTTAGACCTACACAAGTATTTTTTATTTGAAATAATTTTGTTGAAGAGTTCACATGATATAAAGTAGAATAGTTGATTGAGTGTTTGCTCGACAATCATTGGATGAATTCCATAAGTTTGCAATACAAATAAGGTGGATGACAGAAGAGAGGTGACATTGCGAGGTGAAGGTATGCTACGCTGTCTGGGAGAAGAAGGACGGAATGAGGGTAATTTTGATGTGGATGTAGAGGAACTTCTTTTGAGGCTTGCGCCTTTTGATGTAGCAGTGGTGTATTCATTTTGAGGGCTGCGTGATCTACGTACAAATGTTCTAAACACTCTCCATTCACCCTCAAATCTTACATCGTCAATACCAGGGATGGTGTCATATTCTAACATTGATGCTTCTAAAACTCTGTCAAGTCTTCTTTCAGCATCCCTAACCAAAAGTACATATATTTCATGCAAAAGTTCCGAGATTCTTAATTGATATTCCACAGTGGCAGCAACAAGGCCAGTATCTTTTTTCAAATAATACAATAATAAAGTACAATTTGAAATCCAAAATGATAACAAAGTCATATCCTCAGGTTTTGTCTATGCGAGCAAAGATAAATAAATGATAAGTATAACGTAAAAAAAAAAAAAAAGAATATGTATATATGTATATGTAAAATATTATTTTGAGAAAACATACCTTGACAGTTTGGTCGATAGAATCGATAACAGAGAGTAAAAGTGTGTCTAATAATTCAGGACTACTGAAATAATGAGCAAATCTAGTACTTAGGAATATAACGTTTGCGGGTACAGGTTTTTGTGCTTTTGAACGTATTGGTTGTATATTTGTGATGACAGTTTTGAGAATGTGAAGAATATCTTCAGGAGAAAACACAAACATTTGATGTGGAAGACATTGATCCCATAAAAATTCAGTTATAAGTTGTTCTTCTTCTTCTTCTGGTGAATCGTTATCATCAATTCCCAAACTTGATAAATCAATTTCCAAATTTAAAGAACTTTCCATTAACATTCTTTTTTTCATTTCAGCCTCAGCCAATTGTTCGTATAACTTGGATTCATTATCACCACAATATGACCATCTACCTAAACTACCAGCACTTGACCAACTGTCACGTTGAGGATTATGGATGAATATTTCGGCAATTTTTTGATTTTCAGTTGGGATGAAATCAAACACGGTACGACCTTTTGCCGACTTTGCACCAGCATCAGCACCGTTATCCAAAAGTAATTTTACAGTGGAATGATGGTTATTATTCGTTGCCCACATTAAAGGAGACCAACCAACTATGATTTAAAGAGAATTATTAATTATTAGCTACTTTAGTCATTTTTAGTTGTTTTTGGGGGGGAGGGAAGAAATAAATAAAAAAATAACTTACATCTATCTTGAGCATCAACTTTAGCACCAGCTTCTAATAATATATAAACAACAGATTCATGACCAAAACAAGCAGCATAAATTAACGGAGTAGTTCCGTCTTCATCTTGAGCATCAAGATCAATATATTTTTTTGCATTTTCCAACAACTTTGAAACTTGTTCAGCATTACCATTACTTACAACACGTGAAAAAATTTTATTTATTTTTGTTCTTTTTTCATCTTCTGATAAAGACTCGTTTGAAATGATGAGAGACTCGTCACCCAAAGGATTAATTATAAATGAATCAACTACTGGTGAGTTTCCTTTAAGCATTTGGTCAAGTTTATTATTATTTTCACTGTTATCTTCCTCGGGTCCTTTATTTATTATTTCAATATCATCAATTGAATCATTTTTTTTCTTGATATTGTTATTATTATTAGGTTCGCTAGGTTTTATGGGTTTTGTTATTTCTTCTTGATTTTTTAAATTTGTATTCCATGGATTATCTAAAATAGCTGCTGTTGCATTATCATTACTGTTGATGCTTTCATTAAATTCTGATATTTTTTTGTTTATTAAAGCTTCTGTAGCTTTGTCAATATGACCGTTCATCATTCTAACATCAACATCTGAATATGCATTATCAAAATTGTGTTGAACTGGAAGTATTTGAGTTTCTGGCATTTTTGTTTAATAAATTACTATGTAAAAAAAAAATCAAATTTTCTTATTAATTAATTAATTATTATTATTAAATTATTAAAAACTATATAAATAATAATCACTTACACTTTTTTTTCTTATCTAATGTAAAATATACAAAAAAATTTGAAAATTAAATATACAAAGAAAAAAAAACTGGACGGCCGAGATGTTTGAATAATAATAATAAAAAAATAATATATTATTATCAAGTATTATATATATATATATTTTTCACCCGAGAAAAATAAATTATAATATCTGTTGTTGTAGTTGTAGTTGTTGTTATTGATATGAAATCAATTCAATGTAAGATGAATTTTTTGTTTTATATATATATATATATATAATAGGAGTCGTCCAGCGTCCTTGGTTTTTTTTTTGTAATTATTATTAATATTAATTATAACTATTAATATGTTATTAACAGGATTTAGTTTGTCGTTAAGAAGTAAAAAATATAGTTTGACGAAATATTATAGAAAAAAAATTAAAACGAAGTAAATTTAAAACTAAAAAAAAAACGGAATTTGTTTGCCAAATAAAAAAAAAAGGAATAATACGAAAGAGATTTAAATATTGTAATTGTTTGCCTTTACTTTTTTTAAAAAAAAGAGAAAATAATAATCGTAAAAATTAACAATGAAAAAAAAAAAGTTATTTTAAATTTAATTAAAAAAAAAGTTGTTTTGAAGACGAAAAATATTAATTATAATCTTATTATATAATTAACTGACGAAAAATGAAAAAAAATTTTTTTTATTTTTTATTATTAACAAAAATATATATATATAATTGTATAATGTATAAATATATAATTGGGGCGAAAGGATTTGTAAGAAAGGATATAAATAACAATTTTTATATAATAATAATTTTTTTAATGATTATTATTATTAACAAATATATATATATAACCAAGAGCGAAAGGAATTAAAACTACTTTCCTTTGAGACATCCACTGGTGAAAAAAAAGTAGCTAAAATAGGCAGAATAAACTGCGTGCGCACCTTAAAAAATAAAATAAAACCAAGTGACGTCATGCATTAAAATCACAATATATTAAATATTGTCAAACGGTGATATATGGATCATCATTTATAACATATATGGATTTGAATATACTATTTATAGTAACAAAGGTTGCAAATTCTATGTTACACATATGAAACAAGAAAGATAATGTGACCACATGAAACTAATGAATGTAACTAATTGTTCAAAGTGTGGTTGTCAAAAATCCCAAATTTAGAATTGTCAGATTCAAAACTTCCTTTTATATATATTAATGATATTTATTTAATGTGCAAAGAAGGAGGAATTTTTAGTGTTTGTGCTTAATTAAATTAATTAGTTGCAAATCAATTAATTGGTTATTATTATTATTATTATTTAAAAATTTCATATTTTTAGAATTTATTGTTATCATCACTAATTAGAATTAGCTTCCGAACTAAAAATAAAAAAAACAGATATTAAAAATTAAAATAAACAATCGAGGATCTCGGTGATTTGGTTCCGTCCTATTTTCACTGCGTATAAAAAAACCGTATCTTTTATCCGTTTTTGATAGTGTGTTATGTATTACCCTAATTTTTTTTTTGTGATATATAATAAATATATTAATATTAATATGTTGTTGATAAAAGTTGGCATTTTTCTCCCTTGGATGAAAATTGTGAGTTATAACCTGTTTTTTTGGGAACAAAGCAAGTTTTCTTTGTTTAACGTTGATGATAATTTTTGATGTTGTTGTGTGATTCTCTTCTCTTCTTCATTGTCATCGTCCACTAATGTTGCTATTGATGTTATTAATGAATTCAAAAATGCAAGTATCGTAATTTGAAACTTGAATAGAACTATTGAATTGGCTACAATAAGCTAAATCACGTGCGGAGAGGGACACAAAGATTTAAAATGAAAAAAAATACAAGATTGATGGCGTTAAAATAACCAAGAATATGATTTTTTTTGTCCTGCAAAAAATATATAGAAACGATTTTCGATATATTATATTGTAAAGTATAAATTATTACAAAAATTGAAAGAAGGTGGGTAAAAGTAAATTGTTAACAAACCATAACAATCAAATTTCTTTCCGCCATCCCCCCACAATCTTTATCCTAATAGGAAAGAAAATTATGTAAAGAATGAATAAATTAATGGCAATTATTATATTTTCATTGTTGTTTTGTTAGACAAAGCACAACCTTATTTATTTTCAACAACTAGTAACAACTATAATTATAATGGAAATATTTAATGAAGATAATGTTATGCTTAATGTTCCAATTCATCAACTAGCCAATTTCTTCTTCATAATGTTATTTAATAGTTTTCACATGAATAACCCACCAACAAATAATGTACTAAATGATGATGAGTTTTGGCTGGTGAATGTTTATAATAAACTTTTAAGTTTTTAGTTTGCTTTTTTTTGATTGCTTGGATGTTTGGATAATATTATGATTGGTTGATGTATAATATAATAATATATTATATTATATTATACTGTATAATTTATATTCTTGTTGTATTGGTCGAATTATAATGGTTCCACGAAAATTCGACTTATATTTGCGCTAATTACCGAAATCCACACTAATTAATATTAATATTATTTATTAGTTTGGACCTTATCTTTATTTTCTTCGTTTTTTTTTCAATCAATCAAATCATATTTGCTCTCAAAAGGAATTAAGCCACATCTGGACATAATAATAATATATATATATAGTAAATAGATATCAATATATACTATTGAGTTGAATTGGATGGAAGGTAAATTGATATTAAAGTGCAAAGCAATGATTTATATGTAATAATAATATTATATATATTATAATAATAATTGTCCTTGGTGATTTATTCAATATAACAAAAGTTTGTTTAAATGATTATTATAATTATAATATTAATATATTATATAATTATTTTTATTTAATAAATTAATAATCTTGATTATTTTGATTATTTTGATTATTTTTAAAATCCATAACCAAATTTTTCAAAATAACCAGGTACAGTCCATTGTCCCTTCTTAATCATTTTCTCTACAATATCATTAATCTCTGGTTTAGCTTTAACTATATCATCGACCTATATGACAATAGAAACAATAACAACAGATGATTAAATATATTATGTTATATTTATAATTTATAATTTAGTTATTACACTTTTTTAGATAAAAGAAAAAATACTAACTGTAGTATCCTCAAAAGGTCTAGCCTTTTCAATATCTGTCAAGGTTTTTTGCAATTGTTGAAATTCTGAATCAAATCTGGATACAGTTTTTTCTGCATTTGCAACCTATATGATGTTTTCAATAAAAGAATTTATAATAAATAATAATTACAAGCATCTACATAATAAGAATAATTTTGCCAAAAAAAAACTTACAGCCTTATTCTCAAAAGTTTCAATAATATTTATTTGCTTATCCAAATCAACTTTAGTAGGTTTAAACGATTTGAAAACCTTTTCAGCCTCGTTAACTATTGCTTGATTCTTCAAAATTTTACGATAATGTTCAAAATCTACATCCTTTTTTTGTTCCTTCAATGCTGCTAGATTTCTTTTTGCCTCCTCATTACGTTTTCGAAAAGCTTGTAGTGACAGAACTGTTTCTCGTTTTAATCCAAGTGAAACTGTTACTTTTGACCAATCTATTGCTGCAGTTTTAATGACACTAGCCATATTACTATTGCTATATTATTATTACTACTATTATTAATATTATAATAATTTTTGTAGTTGTTTCTTTTATTTATTTTAGAGAGAATTAAAAAAAAAATTTTTGAAATTTCAGTAATGTTACACTAAAGAATATATACCCTAATAACTCTACTATTTGAAGTGGAAAACAATCGTAATTTGCCAACACTGAATCAATTGATTGATCAGTTATTATGTAATTGCTTAAAGGATAATGCCAACATAATTTTCTAGAATTCTTTTTTATCCATAGTTAAAAAAAAAAATCATATAATATGAAAATGCTGAACGATTAATCTTTAATCTTTGATTTAGTTTATTAAATGTATATATAATCATGATATTATAAATAAATTTTGCGCGCATATATTTTAATCTTTTTTCTGATATATTTTTTTCAATTACTATTTCACGAACAGTAAATCTAATACAATTATCTTGGGCTTTACGTAGAGAAATAGAGAAAGACGAGAAAACCATTGTACATAATTTGCAGTATTGGTAATCAAAACCCAAACCAAAAGCTACGGTGGTGCTTAAAATACCACCACCACCATCACCATTTGGATTAGGTACTTCGTCACTATCAATAATTCATATGATTTATACTGGATGCTTCTCCTTGGACTACCCATTAATTTAATATTTAACACCCTGATCATCTCCAACTGTAATTTCTTATAATAATATCTTTGTTAAATCATTAATAATATAAATTCCGTTATGGCAGTGTGACTGTATGCCGATTATGTCCATTCATAAAGAAAATTCCAAGAAAAGCAAAAATACAATGTAATAGTCGGTGAATGTAAGTGTTATCACTTACCATCAATAATCATTTATCAATTCATTTAATTAGAGAAAAAAATATAGATTGCTTTTACGCCATTAAATAAATGGATTATTGGAAGGCTGTTTAAGCTCTTTAAAACAATTGAAAGAACCCAAATGTAATTACAATAAAGAGATTCAGCCGAGTTCTCTTCTAATTAGTCTCCTCATCTTTGCATAACAATCTGGGGAAGCCAGTCCAACTTCTTGAATAAAATATATTCAATTTTCCTTGGTCTATTACTATCAAGAAAATACTCGTAAGATAGCACACCCTATTTTTAAAACTACTTTCTGGGGTTCTATGTTGATTATGGGGCCATTGAAAAGATTTTCATGAAAAAATTTTTTAATCTTTTTTTTTTTTTTAATAATAAATTAATTTAATTGTCAAAATGGTAAGTTTATTTATTATTAGTCGTAATTAATTAGAATTAAAAAAACTTTTGATGGATTGATGATCTTTATGAATAGACTACAAAAAGAAGAAATCATGGACGTAATAAACATGGACGTGGTCATGTTAAACCAGTAAGGTGCTCTAATTGTGCCAGATGTGTACCCAAGGTAAAATAAACAAGTATAAAACAAAATCATAAACGTTATTTATAATTATTCTATAAATAACAATTTAATAAATAGGATAAATCTATCAAAAGGTTTTCTATTCGAAACATGGTAGAAAGTGCTGCAATTCGTGATATTACAGAAGCTTCAGTTTACAATGGTTAATAACAACGATCGATCAATCAATCAATTTATTTTTATTTAGAATCTAAAAATAATTTATTCATCCTTTTAATTTTTTTTCCTCTAAAATAATAGAATATGCACTTCCAAAATTATACATAAAAGTACATTATTGTGTTTCTTGTGCCATCCATTCTCACATAGTTAGAGTTAGATCTCGTCAAGGTCGTCGTGATCGTGCTCCTCCACCAAGAATTCGTTATAACAAGGTTTTGATAATTTATGATTATTTATTATTATTTATTTATCATTTTGTTTTTTTTTAATAATGTTTGTTTTATTTTGAAATGATCAATTAGGACGGGAAAAAGATTAATCCTACTGTTCAACAAAAAAATGCTGCTTAAAAAAACAAAATTTTAGAATACAGTGTTTGAAATATATAATAAAGATTTTTATTTGATTTTAAAATAAAAAATATAACATAGTAATTTATATGCTTGCTTATTCATGAATTATAGTTATCTATTCGTACAGAAATCAATTCATAATTACCTACTAATTTCTATTCAAATATTATATATTTTTTAGATTTTAAATAGTGATTTCAATTTTTTAGCAAATTTTGGTGATTTTTGGTTTGCTTCCTACCATACATAGGCAATAAAAAAATCCATTATTAATAATAATAAATATGACGATGACGATGATGATTTAGATATAAACCAACCATTGAAGCATCATTCAACGTTTTAACAAATTGTTTTTCAGATGCCTTAATTTCTCCTTGTAAAGTGGCTATTTCTGATTGATGAATGTCTTCTATTTTTTTTTTTTTTTTGAAAAAAATTAATCAATAATTAGAGAGACGACAACAACTTATATATATATGTATGAGATTTCTTCTAAAGAATTACTTAATCCTTCCATATCTTTATCAAAATCACGCTTTGCTTGTAAAATTTTAAGATGATTTTTTTTCAGATTTTCAAATAATGGTAATATGGCTGACTGTTTTTTTGAAATCATTATAAAAATTATTATAACGTTATAACAATTATATAATTGATAGAAATAAGAAAATCACTTCATATGTTTCCAATTCTGATTTTAAATTTCTCAAATGATAAAGTTTCTCTTCTTCATAATCGTCAATTCTACGTTTATAATCTAAAACTGACTTGTCGCTATTTTTGAAAAGAAAAAACAATTAAAAATTATTTGGGGGTTTTTTTTTAAAAAAATAAATATTTTATGCTTCCTCGATAAAGCTAATTACATTAATTCATCATCTTTATTAAGATATTTTAAAATTGCTTCATATATATTTGATTTGCTTGTTTCAAATTGTCTTCCCATAGATTTGCTAATGTAAGATTCTCGTTTTTTAAAGTTTTCTAGTAATAGCAATGATAGTAAATATTATTTCTTGATTATTGTTGATTGTTCGATGATAATGACGATTTTTACCAGAAAGCTTTTTCATAATCATTTGATATGTTGGATCGCTATTATATATATATTATTATATGTTGACAATTTGATTTTTTAAAAAATCGAGTTTTGAATTAATAATAGATACTTTTTTGTTTGCGATGCATCAATAATTTCATCTTTAATATGTTTTTCTTTGGTTAGACTTTGTAAAAAATGGTCATTTGATTCTAAAAAAAGTTAGCAAACAAAAAAAAATTTAATATAAATCAAAATAGAAATATCCATAGTAGTAATTTCTATATAATAACTGTAAGGATCAGTTTGATTCATAGATTTTCCGATCCTTGTTTTACTTTTACTAATGCTGTTAGTTGTAATTGGTTTTGATAAAATATCATTAAAGTTCTTTGTTGTTGCGTGTTGTTGTTGTTGTTTTTGAAAATGTCGAGAATTTGAATTTTTTTTGTGCATGGTTGTTGTGATTAATTTTGTATTTGTAAAAATTTTTTTTTCAGACACGTTGATTTTTTATACTTTCGAAGTAATGACATACTTTCTATATATGCCGATCCTAACAGCTAAAGCTGAAGCTCAAATATAGTATAGTGCGTCACAGTAATTGGTATTCCTTTTTAATATTGACATGAGTTAATTTTCATGTAACTTTTGAAAAAAAACAACGTAAAAGATATCGAACTACGTTGGAATTTTTAAGTTCATGTAGCAAGAGTCGAGTCGAGTTAAATATTAGTATTAGGAAAATATTATTATGTATGAAGTGAGAATGTCGCGCGTACCATCATCAATTTAATTTATTCGTGAAAATAAAAATCTTAACGCTTGACATATCTGTTTGTTCTGAAGTGTTAAATTTAACTATATATTTTCAAGAGAAATAACCTCATATAAAGTTAATTTGGAAATAAGAAAACATCCTTATATTACGATTTGTCGATTGCACATTTTTTTAAATGAAAGATTCATCACCGTAAACATATATTATCGAAAACGGCTTAATTCTCCAAATAAACCGCAGGTTAGATCTCTTTTCTGACTCTCTTTGTTGTGAAGTGATAGAAAAACTCAAAAAGCCAAGAATTGGATAAATTTATTAGGCAAATGATAATAATATATTCACTAAAAAAAAATTTTTATTAAAAAAAAAAAAGAACATTATGAGTATTATTTTTGCCAAGTCTATTTCTTTTTTTTTGTGAATAGATTTCCCAGATGATGAAACAACCTCTCAGATAGTATTGAGCTTGCTGGTATTTCCAAGTAAATCTTGTTAAATAACTATCCATTGTAGATCGTTTTGATGAATTTACTTTTTTTATATTGATATATATCTTTCAATTTTATTAACCAATTTTATTTATTTGTGGCATTATTTTTCTTGCTGTAATGAAAATGAATGTACATTTTCAAGACCTTTAATGCTTCCTCAAGGGTTAATGTCATCTTCTCAAATTTGTCAGCAGGTACATTCATTTTATTTTTATATATTTCTGCAAGTTCTTTGATTATTTTATCATCATCTGGAACCTCACAGACAATATTTTCTTCAGGATATTCAAAAATTCATCAACTTGCATTTTATGAAAGCATTTAGTGACACAAAGTCATGAAATTGGATTGCATTACATATTGGAAATTATCCAATCAAATCAAAAAATTTGCCGATGATTTCTAAATTTATCCTAGTTACACGATGAATTTTATACATTAGTCACGAGGGGTGCATTTATGGAGTGAGTTTTCATATGAGTGGGACTGAAAAAATACCATGCAGTGCAGAGTATGGAGGGTGTGCATTTATCACTAAGTCCTGAGGTTGGGACCAAGACATAGCATGCATTTATGGAGGGTGTGTATTTATGGAGGGTGCATTTATGGAGGTCTGACTGTATAATAAAAAATAGAAATTGGATTTTAAAAAAAATGGCCCAAAAAGGAAGGTCACTAGCCAATTTTAGTAAGATATTCTGAGTATTTTATATGTTTTCTTACATATCAGTTCAAATATGATTGTCCGAGTTCCTCACACCAGTGTGTGAAATTGATTGCAGGCACGTGTATTACATAAAAAATGCGCACATTTTGTTGATTGTGATCAAAAATCTTAACAATAATTGTTGATTTGAAATAAAAATTATAATAATAATAAATTAATTTATGTATATATATATTTTTTTTCAATGAATTTTCTGCACAAAAGATTATTGGTTACCTTTAATGTAACACATATGCCCGCACTCAATTTCACACACTGTTCAGGGTTTTATATGTTACATTTAAAGTTATTTGAAATTTTTAAAAGCTAATAACTGGAATGAATAATTTTTTTAAAATTATCATTTGGGACAATCAAATGACTTCATTAGCAATATTTTTATATGCTCAATTTATCAAAATGCTAGATTGAAAACTTCTATTGCCATCATAATGACAAAAATAATAAAATGCACCTATAGTTTGAAGCAACACAAATATAATATTTCTATATCAATAATATCATCTAAATGAGAAAATGAGACCACAGCATTTTATTTGGAAACATTTTTAAAAAGCCACTAGAAAGAAAAAATAACAAGCAGCATTATATAGCTTCTTTGTAATTATTGTCAGCATGCTTTTGATGGACAACCTCTTTGCATGATTAAACATTTACTTCTTGTAATAGTGAACCAAATGAATTGAAAATTTTGTTAAAAAATAAAAGTAAAAGGAAAGATTTTGATAATGTTCATGGAAAAAATAAACAAAAAGTCACAGAAGGATTCATTGATAAGTGCTCAATTAAAGAAAAAGAAGAGCTAGACAATTATTTATCTCTAGCAATTTTTGGTAGTGTTCCCATTATTAATTGTAGAAAATCAATTTTTGTAAAAAACTACATCATGCTTATGAATTACCATCCAGAAAAACACTCACCATCAAATTGTTAAATGATAAATATAATGAAATTACTGAAAATAATAATAATCAAATTGAAAAATCAAAATATGTCTATATAACAAATGATGGCTTAATGAATCAATTATTAATTTCGTGGTTACTTAACCAAATCCACTATTTTGGAAAGCATTTGAAGATGGTGATGAAGATGAAGAAATTGACAATGACTTGGATTTTGATTATAATGACTATGATTACAATGGTGGAAATTATGATGATTATAATGATTTTGATGAAATTATTAATTTAGAAGATAGTAACAATCAAGAATGCATAACACAAGTATTATACAATTAGTATTTCTTATAAATAAAATATTCAAACCAAAATTGTTATCTTATTACATATTAGTGTATATACCACAATCAATTTCTTGTGTAATTTTTTAGTAGGGTATATACTCCTCAAATCTTTTATATACCATTCTTAGTCAGTTTGTATATGTTTAATATGTGGTGTAACTAATACCGATCATTTCTTTAAATCGAATGCCCTCTCTGTTTATTTTTTCCAGATAAGCATTCAATGTTTCCCTATTTAGCTTTAAAGTTATTTGATGAGTTGTAGTGACCCGCACCGTACAATATATTTCGGGCAAGTCAATTAGTAGCTGAACTTTTATTGGCCTTGCATATTTAATTTCTTCAAAAAAAAGGGTAACCTTCTTCCACGTTACAATTTTATGTAAACCCGAAATTGGTTACTTAATTATCAAGCGAAGCGGATCATGTGATTATCGTTAAGGTAACATAAACCACCAAATTTGCTCTCGTGGCGGAGGAAGAATTGGTCCACAAAGGGGCTTCGTTTTTTCAATCAATTTCCCAAAAAGTGTTTAAAATTTTATCTCTCATTTCATAATTATTTAATGTCTGAAAAAAAAGTAAAGTATTTTCTAAATAAATGTAATTCGTGAGATTAATATTTTGTTTAACATTCAATGTTAATATATGTATATATATATGTGTATGTAGAGAGACAATAAAATCTTCTATTCACTTCTAGCAGGATCAATTGCTGGTGGCGTAGAAGCTACAATAACAGTAAGTGGTGAATTTTGATTTAATAATCTTTACCTTTACATATCACTTTTTTAACTCGTTGTTTTTTAATTGATAGTATCCAACAGAATTTATTAAAACACAATTACAACTACAAGGTGCAACAAAGGTAATGTTAATAAATAATGAATAATAAATAATAAGAAAAGAAAGAAAGCATGTGAAAGTGGTGAAAATAAAAAGGTTGATAAATTTATCATGACTGCTTTCCTCAAAAAAAGATAACAATAATAAAATTATAAAAATTATAAAGAAATTCAAAGGACCAATTCATTGTGCAGTAACTACAGTAAAAACACAAGGATTTTTTTCACTATATAAAGGATTATCAGCCTTAGTGATAGGCACAGCAGCAAAAGCAGGAATCCGTTTTTTAACTTATGATCAACTTAAACTTTTGTTGCAAGATGATAAAGGAAACCTTACAGGACCTAAATCTATGATTGGTAAATAATTAAATCAATCACAATGTTGTTGTTGTTGTTGAATGTAAGAATTGAATTAATTGTTTCTATGGTTTTTTATTTTTATAGCTGGATTGGGAGCAGGGATGGTGGAAGCTATAACAGTTGTTACACCAACTGAAACAATAAAGTAAGATTACTACTATTGTTGTCATTGTTTAATCTTATATATATTGATTATAGGAGGAAAAAAACCAATTATTTAATTATTGATTGATTGATTTCAGAACAAAATTAATTCATGATACAAATCGTTCTATTCCACAATACAAGGGACTTGTACACGGTAGATTAAAAATTAAATTAACTAACCATTATGATTGAAATTAAAAAAATAATTTATTTATATTTTATATAAAACTACAAAAATCTCCAAATACAAGGTGTTTCGTTGATTGTAGCCAAAGAAGGAATTGGGGGAATATATAGAGGATTGTTTCCTGTAATGATGAGACAAGGAGCAAATCAAGCGGTAAGATTTTCAGTGTATTCAACTTTGAAACAAAGATTCCAAAAATATTCAACACCAGGACAACCACTACCATGGTCAGTCACATTCTTAATGGGAGCAATTGCTGGTATAATAACAGTTTATAGTACAATGCCATTAGATGTTGTTAAAACCAGAATGCAAGGATTAGATGCTACCAGTTTGTACCAAAATTCATTCCATTGTGCATGGAAAGTATTAAAAGAAGAAGGAGTATTTGCATTTTGGAAAGGTGTGACACCTAGATTGGGTAGATTATTGGTTAGTAATGTTATATTATATATAATTTAATAGTTAATGATAATTAATATTATTTATTTAATGATTTTTTTAATGTGAAATAATTAGCTTTCTGGTGGGATTATATTTACGGTGTATGAACAGGTCATGACTGGATTATATAAACTTGAAAATGTTAGAAAGAAGTGAAAAAATCTTCTGCCATTCATGTCATTAATCATGCATTTTTTTAATATGATCAAATCAGTAAGAAATTATTTAACATAGTAATTTCTTTGATGTATTAAAGAAGTAATAATATTAAAAAACTTGGTACACTAGAAGAAACCCATTATTAATATTTGTATTAGAAATTATTGAAATTTCAATAAGCATAATAATAATAATAAAGATCTTACAAGTAACCCATGTTAAATAAATTAATTTATATAATAATAATAATAGTAATAAAATATATTTTTTCTTCGCAAAAAAAGCAAAACTAGTATGATGCCTCTTATATAGTTGCAACATTACAAGATAAAATGAATATAAAGATAATAATTGATCAGGATTTTTATTAATTTAATTCAATGAAAAGATTTCTTGAACTCCTATAATTGACAAAGGTATAAATATTTAAATAATTAGCAATACAGCTAGGTGGTTGGTATCTATATATTCTTCAATAAGAAATATTTTATGTAATAAATTTAAAAAATTTAAATTCTTTCTTTTTTAACTAAAATTTTTTTATAATATCTATTTTGAATATTATATTCATCATTATCATCATCATCCTCACATAATGTTACTGTAACTGAATTAATTTCCAATGAATCCATAGAAGGTTTTTTTGTCTTAATGGCAATGTCAACCTGTAAGTCCACCATTTCAACTTGTTAACTCCTCTATTTAAAGCATTGAAAATTTGCCTTGAAAATGAAATGGATGGTAAATATTGACCACTGCTCTCTAACCCTCTATAGTCCATTTCTTTATTCTTGCCATCTCTATCAAACAATGAATAAAGAAGTGCTATACTAATTTTTATCCCTTTTCCAATTGCATTCTTACCACATAAACACATCAACCAATCATCAGCCATACCACAAACAAATGGAAACTCCAATAATCCATTCAACCATATAATTACAATAGTCTAATAGTCATGACCTTGTGGATGAAGTGGTGGTGGTATCATCTCTGATGATTTTATTGATGCTGAAGCTTCTAAAACCATTTTACCAAGAGCCCAACTCACTGCTATATTATTAATGTTATTTATACCTTGGAAAGGTGGTCCACCCGAATCAATTATCTTTAGAACGTCAATTCTCTCATGCAATAACTTACCAGCCATGCTGATTTGAAACATTGCATTTTCAATCTTATCAATTCCGTTGAAGAATTTGTAATTTCACCTTTATGATAAATTTCGACAATGTTTTTCCAATCTTTAGCACAATAGTAAATCCAAATGTGGTTGAATGTTTTGAACTTCATCCAAATCTACGTCCAAATCTGGTTTTTCTGATGATATATTGGCAATATATGGTTTACCATTATCATTAATAAATCCATTCATCAAATAATTTACAGTAATCCAACCATATGTTCCTTCCATTTCACCAGTTATGACTTGAACATGTATGTTCAAGCATGTAAAAAATCATCTTTTTATATTTGATTCCACTATATATCAAAATGCCAAGTACAAATGAAGAGGAAACGCATTGTAAAAAAAAGAAGTATTTTATTCTTTAACAAGATACCTGGTTCTACTTTTAATTACCAATTTAATCCATGCTCATCAGCATGCTGAGCCATAGGTAATACATGAAGATCTTTCTCATTTTTATCCTGCCTAACAATGTTATGTTCTTTCCAAGAATATATTTGAATTCTTGATCCAGAACTTCCTGCATCTACAACAATACTAAGTTTCTATTTAATAGTATAAATTGAGATATGTAAATATATTTCAACATTAAAGTATAGTGCAGGACACCTAATCCCTACAACTTTTATTAGTCTTGCAAATCCTTTAACTCCTCCAAAAATGGAAATGTGTGACCAAAAAAACAAGATGACATTTTGAAGCTAAGACCTTTTTCTACAAAATGACATTTTCATTTTGTTGATATGCCATGTTGTTGTGGAGGAATTAAGCCTTAAAGTTGCACAATTTTAACAAATTTACTATGTTATTCCCCCAAAGTGACGTGTTACACGCGAATTTTTTATATTAAAAATGAACGAATTGGAAGAATTAAAATTTTGAAATCTGTATTGCAGATCTTTTGTCACGTGATACTAATAAAGAGAATGCAACGTGACAAACCTATTTTTAAAACATGTGACTGTAAAAATTTTATTGCATTTTTGATTGTGAATTTTTCCCAAATCTGTCGCTGTGGCGCAGAAAATTGTAGGGACTAGGTTTCCTGCACCATACAAATTTCTAAAAAATGTTAAAATTTTTTTAAATAAAAAAAGGCTATAAATGATATAAATCATATTCAGAAAAATATGATTCTTCTTCTGAGACCATCGTAATGAATCAAACTTCAAAGCGTAATTATTTCAAACAACTACTTAATCAAAACCAAAACAATAATCAATCAACTACTACAAACAATAAATTTATATTTATTAGAAGATACTTTGATGCACCACCAGAAGAAATTGAATGTTTGGATTGGTATGCATCAAGAATAAAGGATCCTAATTATATAACTCTGTCACATATGGCAAAAGATTTTTTTTCGATACAAGCCACAAGTGTATCAAGTGAGCAAATGTTTAGCATTGCCAAACATACATTAAATCCAATTCGAAATAGGTTGGATTCAGAAAAAGCACAAGCAAGTCTATGCTTAAAGAGCTGGATTGAAGCAGAAATTGTTTCAATTTAATTTTGGTTTTTTTATTTTGTTTGTTTTTGTATGTATATATACACTACCCGGAAAAAAGTATTTGGACACCTATTTACATTAATTACCCAAAAACATACATAATACCCGCACATAAAATTTATATTATTTTATAGCTTAGGTTTTGAAGAATATTCATGTAAAATTTTATTTTTTCAGCTTATGCGAAACCTTAATAAATAAAAAAATATGAATTTCAACCAAAATTTTTTTTTTCATTTTGATCGTCAAAATTAAATTGGAAACAAAAAAAAAATAATATTCAGTTGGCCATCCTTCATTAGAAATGCATGCTTCAATTCTTCTTGGCATGCTTTCAATGAGTGTATGCAATTTTTCGTAAGGAATTTGCTGCCATTCTTCTTTCAGTGCAATTTCCAGTTCACTTGCATTTTTTGGATGATTTTTTCGATTTTTTAATCTCCTTTCCAGCTCACTCCAGAGATGCTCAATCGGGTTAAGATCAGGCGATTGAGATGGCCATTCTTTTAATATTTTTACTTTGTTTGTTTGCATCCAAATTTTAACATCATTGGCTGTGTGAACTGGTGCATTATCATCTTGATAAAAATAACCTCTCCCATCAAAATCACTCTCTATTAATGGTAACAAGTTCTTTTCTAAAATCTGAATATAACCGAAACGATTCATTTTTCCATCAACCTTCACCAAAGGACCCAATCCCTTTCCAGAAAAACACCCCCAAACCATTATTCCACCACCACCATGCTTTACAGATGGAACCAAGTTTTCAATGTTATACCGAGTCCCATCTTTTCGCCAAACATGTGTTGGTCCATCATTACGAAATACAGTAAATCGAGATTCATCACTCCATATCACAGACTTCCATTTTGCAACACTCCAACTTCTTTTTCCTAAACACCATTTTAATCTTTTTATTCTTTGTTCATCAGATAAAAGAGGTTTTACTGCTGTGGTACATGAATAAATTCCAATATCATGAAGATTCTTTCAGATTGTTCTTGTGGAAACCTCAACACCACTTTTTTAATAAACTTTCTTTGTATCTGATCTAGAGAACTGCAATTATTTTTATCAACGTTTTTTTGTAAAGTTTTCTGGTTTTCTTTATTTAAAGATTTGGGTCTTCCACTCCTTGGTGCACTTTTCATATTGTCAGAATTAGAATAATGTGCTATAGTATATTGAACTGTGCTTTTAGGGATTTTAAGCATCTTAGATATCTCACGAA